AACCACCCTTTGGCCATTCGACATGGAGTCGTACGTCGTCAGGGTGATGTTGGCGGCCTCTTGGTACAGCTGAATCCACTGCAGGGCCGATTCCTTGACGCCGGACATCGGTAGGCCACAGTGGTGCCTTCCATCAACTCCTGAAACGAAATAATGCAAGGTCTCACTGGGGTATTCTTGTCTGGGACCAATGCACGATCGTATTACCGTAATAGTCAGCTATAATGCAGATGACAAATACTTAGTGACAAGACGCGTTATATTCAAATACAGATCACCGCACACACCACTCATACCAATAATATTGTCATTCACAATTGATAAACTTTGTTACCGAAGCCTGTGGGGAAAGTTGATAGTTCCATTTAAAATGGAAGTTTCATTCATGAAATGATTGCAACTGGCTCAAACCAATTACATAATATGTGTTACTGCAAATTGAAATTGCCATCATCGGCAATTGATTGCTTTAAGCAAATTGCTATATTTGATGCTCACCGGTTCCAGGTCAGGAATCATATCAAGCTTCTCGCACAAGATGTACTTGGCATCAGCCTTCCAGATTACTTGGAAGTGATCCTGTTGGAAGAAGGAATGTTCCATAAAGTTAGTGGCGGACTTGTACCTATTCAATATTTAATATCAATATAGTAACAATGGTTACACGACTCATAATCTTCACTTACAGCATTTCTTAAAAATTACCTATGTAAAGATTATAATTCTGCTGGTGATACCTATAGCCATGTGGGTAAATGTCAAGTTTAAGTCCTAAGCAGATTTCATGGATAATTTTTTCATATTCTTACATTATTTGGCCGGTACACATGGAGGTCCCCGCTTCAAAATTAGTTAATTTTGAATTTAGTGTTTCCGACCATTATTTGACATCCTGAATCCAAAAATGATACTTATATGTCTCGTAACTAAAAGAAAAACATAATCAAACCTGAACTAACCTTACCTTTTCACCTATAACCTACCAATCTACTACCTACAAACCTACAATGCAACCTAAAACTTACAGCCTAACGTAACCTAAAACATAATTTTTTTGCTGTTACAGATTTGTATCAACAGCGTCACAGTTATAGTTAGGACCTAAACTTGACATATACCTGTATTTCTTGCGCCCTAACCCACAACAACAGCAACAACAACTGTATTTCTTGCAAAGAACATGCACCTAAAATGGAAATACTTATTAATCACCAACCTTTTCCAGCATCTTGAAGCATATATAGGCCTCCGCAATAAACGAGCAAACATGAGACACGAAAAAGGCGCTTTGGATTAAAAGGCGCGCCAGTGGCATCGGAAGAGCTGCCAGATCGGCTGAAATCCCTAGCGCGATTTCGCTTTTTTCCAAGGTGCCTAGAATTCCTCTAGGAATGGCTGAGCCCTATGGTGAATTCAAAATACGCCGCTAGGAAAACAGCGGAGATCCCAAAAAATAAACAAAAGTAAAAGTCTAATATCTTGAAAACCGGTGAATATTTTTCGATGAAATTTGGTAGATATTCGTTTTCGCTCTTTCTGAACCGAGCGACATCACTTTCGTGCCAATTCATTAACTTTTTTGAAGGTGGGAGGGTCCCTTTAAAATTTTCTCACACAACAACAAATTCGTTCAAAGATATTATCAAGGTCGCTTGAATTTTTATGCGCAATGTTTTTATGGGGAGGTAGGTTCTAATGCGCTGCCATATTTGACGTCATAAAAAACATACTCGTAGAGGGAATTCTCCACTTTCCTTTGCTGTGTATTTTGAGTAGGTACATTTTGGCTTGACGGCTGACGCGTGTAAAATCGTGATAACTAGGCTAACAGTTATTTTCTCTCGGCTAGAGAACATTCGATATCCGATAGAAAAGCTCTCAGCTCGCCTAAACAGTGTAAAACTTGGCAAATTATGGACGCTTATCAATTTGCATTTTGCAATGCAGCGGCGAGCGGACTTCAGCCCTGATTTTGTGGCCGATCACGCTACGCTAGGGTCGATGTTTCGCGTCGGCGGATGAGTCATGAGGGAGGTAGTCTCTCTAAAGGTGACCTTCCCTAACCTGACCTTGACATCGACCTTTTAGAAGCCTCCGGGTGAGGGCGATACGTGTCATGATACCTACCTATATCTATAGACTATACCATTACCATTTCACTGTTGGGACCTTGAGGGCTGAGGCCTAGGGTTGGTTCATCCGGAAAAAAAGATGACGAAACAATGACAAGCGCAAGACATTTCGGCATACCCAAAAAGGTCAGGCAGCGCCTCTGTAGACATTTGCAAAAAAAAGAGGGAAAAGAAAATACTACCTCAAGGCTCCATTTTACCACCGCGCGGCCTCAAATGAACTAGCTGAAGGCTTGCACCGTCAACCGTCCTAGATTCCATTGCTTGGCAGCTTGGTGTCAAAAATATAATGTGTCTGGCCGAGTTGGAATGCATCCCCCGTCATGCAATGAATGTTATTATCTCGGTAAATCACTGCTCGCCACCTGTGAGTTTAGGGTCGACAGCAGGAGACTCGAGCCTATGGTAGGGCAGCCGTGGCAATTCCGGTGAGGAATGGGCGTAAATCGGTGTTCCGGTAGCCCTAAATCAGTTTTTTTATGTTCTAATGTGCACCGACAGCTAAGTGAATAAAACCGATATAAACACAAGGATGACACTAACCGTCTTCGACACTCGACAGTGAGTATTATATAATACAGTAAGCATAGTTTTTTTCAATAATCACCGTCTTGAGTATGACTTTTATTTATCGGCTTATTAGATGTCACTGACCGACCGAAATTCTGCACAATTTCGGCTTGACATTTTGTAACAGATACCCGTTAGTGGTTATCTGTTTGAACTCAATATTTATTGGCAGACTGCACACTGTGTGGAAGCCGTTCTCCGCAGCAGCAGCACACTTTGTCCTGTCTGTTACGCAACCCAAGGTCAGTGATCCAGGTGACTGGGAGGTGAAGAAGGGAGGGGAACGGCTGGACCACCGGAGTTTCGCCGCGGGACCGAGGCGTGGTCCGTCGGACCTCCGCTGTCTGTCTGTCTGTCTGTCTGTCTATCTGTCTGTCTGCCTGTCTGTCTGTTTGTCTGTCTGTCTGCCCGTTTGTTCACCTGTACTTGTCCGGTCGTAGCTACGTTTATGTGTGCAATTCATCCTATTTGTTTACCACGGTCATTGAACGATAGCTTAGGAAGCCCTGCGTGTGCCTCGATAGGAGCTCCTTGCCCGAGGCGCTGAAAGCGGAGCGGGCTCAGGGCGGCGCGGTTGGGCGGCGGTGGGGAGGAGGGGGAGGGGCGGGGAGGGAAGACCGGTATGCTGAGCGTGACAGTGAAGGAACGCTCGGGCCGCGGCACGGGTAGCGGCGGGTCGTCCAGTACGGTGGTGTCGTCCGACGCGGAGAGATACGGTGGGGAAACGTTTCTTCCGAGTGAGATAAGTTGTGAGAATTTGGTCGGTTTGGAAACAAGTGATAAGCGCTGAACAAGTGGTAAATGTCCCGTTTTCAAGCGGCAAAAGTTTACTTGAAAGGCAAGCGACTTTTAAAAGTTGTTACGTAACATTTTGCAAAATAAGTTGCAAATACCAACGGTGCATTTGAAGTGTTCGGAAAGCTTTGTGACGTGAGAAAGAATCTTTTAATCTAGCTAAGCTCGGAAAAACAATGACATTCATTAGAATAAATAGGCGGTGACCGCACTTGCCCTACCAGTGAATACAATTGTGCGCCGTTTGTGACCGGACACACCTGTGGCGTGCACAACTGAACTGTTCGTTCACTCAGCGAGTCGCCATGGTCAACACGGAAGGATCAGAGACGCAGCGGCTGATTCAGAAGAATGGAGACCCGGCCTCAAAACACGACAGCCCTGACTATCAGTCCGTGAGCGTCAACAACAGTGGGGCATACGACCAGAAATTTCCAGAGAAGGCAGAGCCAGACAAGCCAGGCAACGATCGCTTCTCCACCACCCAGCGGAAGCTGCTAGCCTGTCTGAGTCTAGTAACGCTACTAAACGGCTCCCTGATCGCCGTCATGATCCCGTTCTTCCCCGTGGAGGCGGCTTCTCGCGGTGTATCTCAGACAGTCATCAGCGGCGTCTTCAGCTGCTTCGCCATTGTCAAGATGATGCTGAACCCGCTGGTGGGACGTCTAGCTCCTAAGATCGGCGTCAGTCGACTCTACAACATCGGCCTGGCGCTGGCGGGTGTGTCGACGCTGGTGTTTGGGGTGCTGGACAGGATCGAAGACACTCAGACCTTCATATTCGCCGTGTTCGCGGTGAGGCTAATAGAAGCCGCAGGCTCGGCGGCGATATCCACCTGCGGCTTCACCATCGCCGGGAGCGAGTTCGGCAGTCGGGTGACCACAGCGGTCGCCGTGATCGGCTCCTCGCTGACGGCTGGCCTGGCGCTGACACCGGCCCTCTGGGGCGGCCTGTACGCCGTCGGCGGCTTCGGCACGCCCTTCTACACCCTCGGAGCGGTGATGCTGCTAACCTCAGCCGCCCTCACGCGCCTGATACCCGACATCGAGAGCGCCGACTGCCAGCAGGCGCCGTTCGTCGCGTCGCTACTGAAGTTCCTCGGCGCAGTCGACAACTGGCTGTGTCTGGCGACGATCCTCGTCTTCGCTGCTGACGTCACCACTGTCGAGTCTGCATTCGCGGTGTACTCTGATCAGGTCCTTGGCGTTCCTCCTTCTCTAGTCGGTATCTTCTTTCTCGTCTCGACCACTCTCTACGCGCTGGTGAACCCTCTCTGGGCGCGGCTCTCCGAGAAACGTCCCAGTCCGTTTCCTCAGATGGCTGGCTGTCTTATCGCCTCTAGCATAGGCATCATCTTCATCGCCCCAGCTGTTCCCCTACCTCCACACTGGCTCATCACCGGAGCGGGTATGATCTTCGAGCAGCTGTTCATTGGCGGTGCCTTCACTCCCTGCTTCAAGGCGATGCTGGACGCGAGTGTTGCGAGCGGTCTCGAGGACAGTGTGGCCACCAAGGCGTTCGTTTCGAGCCTGTTCCACGCCACGTTTTCGCTGGGGATCGCTGTGGGTCCGGTGTCGGGTGGGGCGGTCATTGACCGGTATGGGTTTGCGGCGATGACCGCGGGCATTGGAGCGATGACGGCGTTGTTGGGTGTCGTAATGGCGGTCAGGGTGTTGGTGAAGCGATGAGACAGGGTGTGTTCGTGAAGTATGGGAGTGGGGCCAGCCGTATGTGCTCTCTGTGACGTGTGATTTGTCATTATTTGTCAGTTTATAACGTTAGTCAGGTCTGATGCTTGTGTGATGTTTAATCGTTTTAAAAGTATAAGTTAGGGCAAGAAACTAGGAGCAAAGAACGATCGGTGGAAAAGGTTTATTTTAGTCTTCGGGCATAACCGTCTCACATATGAAAGTTCCCTGAGTGCGCAGAAATGAGCTCTATTTATGGCTGTGTGTTATGCCACACTCCTACCTTTTAGGAAATTGTATGCTTAGATATGATTGAGAGCTTGTTTGCGAGGGATTGGAGGACCATAGCATATATAATAGGGCGGGTCGATGGAAAAAGTTTCCAAGTGAAGAGCGATTTTCCTACGGGCTGATCCATAAAACGGTTAAAACATATTTTTTGCGAATTTTTGAAAAGGAACTGGGCGCGCCGTCAACGGTTTTTCGAGACCACTTTTGCTAATTTTTCTCGTTGTTTGCAAAATGTAGTGGGAAAAATTCGAGAAAGGTACTATATTTACCACTTTCCTAGTTCTACATGGTTACCCCCACCTCTTCACAAAGTTTGGAAACCCCAGTGGCAGAATCGTGCTCAGAATAGCGATTAGCATCGGCGCTCTGAGCGCAACGAAAACAGCGCCATCTATTGAGCGAGTTTGGCATAACATTGATTTTGACGGCTTTCCGACCGTTAAAAGCTGACGCAGCCGCTGCCACGTCGGGTATATGGTGTTCTTTGGTGTTCCTAGGTGTCTGGTGTTCCTTATTTGACACTAGGTGAGTTGTACCCATTCGATCCGAAATACTTCAGGAATCATAAATTGCTCCGGAAGCTATACCTATAGTGATTTCGCAAAGAAAACAGCGAGATGCTTAACTTTGATACCTATATGTTTATCAGTTAAATTAAGTTTTGCAGACAGATAACATCAGTCCAAACCGTATGTTCATTTTTAAATGCAATGTAGCCAGCCACCTAACCGTCCTAGGACAGAAAATCACACTTCGATAATTGATTCAAACGCCGGCATGAGAGCGTTGCATTGCGTCCTGATGGCACACGTGATGTAACCGAGACGTGCTCTCTTAATAACAGCAACGTATGCTGCCTAAGTTAGGAACCGGACGGCTCGCTCCACTGCCTGAGTAGTGAGTATGGGTATGCACCGGATCGAAATTAATTTGTTAAGCAGCGGGTC